AAGAAAATAAAAGATCTGAGAAAATTCAGCTACCAGCGGCACTACAGGCTTGTACACAAACCTCTAGCTATTCAACTAGGAATTCTTGAGGAGGACGATACTCAGTCTACGCCCAGGAAGGTCCCAAAAATTGATGTTCGTATGGATCAGCAGATATACATGGAGTCAATGGTTGAGCTAGTAACTGCAAACGGCTTACCATTAAATGTTTTCCGGTATCCGGCATTTCAACGGATCATCCGACCAATTGAGGAAGGTGAGTATTAGTGCTCCACTCAATGAAAGCGTCACACGAGATTACCCTTGGGTGGATAACAATCGCTAATCCACGTATCTGTATTTCGTTCAAAACGAAATTCTCATACAATTTTTTTTTTTATAGGAATTTCGTTTCGCACGAAATACAAAATAGGGTTGCGTTTGATGCGAGACTTTCATCCACATTCATGTTTTAGATAAAACCATATTTTTATCTTATTTGAAGGTTTAAAGATAAAGCACTTAGATCCGGAGTCCATACACAGCGTCTTGACAAATGTTGCAAAGCAAATAAGAACCATCATCACGAATGCTATGGACGGAAAAATGATATGCTTGAAAATAGACACAGCATCACGAATGGATCGGGAGTTTCTAGGTGTCAACGTTCAGTGTCCAGAAAACAAGCTGATTAAAGTTCGAACACTGAATGTTCTGGAGCTTAAGGACAGGCACACAGCGGAAAATCTCACGATCGAGATCCTAGGCGTACTAGAACCATTCGGAATAAACATTCGATGTTTGCTGTGTGTCACGACAGACAACGCCAGCAACATGTATGCCACAGTAAACAAATTGAAAAAGTATCAAGATCTGGCCATCAACGATTTGGACGCTATTCTTAGCTGTGATAATAACGAGAAATCATTGGTAGAAGATGGTGATGGTGACAATAGCAACGATGATGACGATGATGATGATGATGATGATGATGGCGAGGAGGTCGATGAAGAGGAAAACGATTCTACATATACTGGACGGGCTAAGTTGGTGGAAGGAATTCTGCAAGGCGTCAGGTGCGCAGAGCATACCCTGCAGCTTGCGGTTTCGGATACCTTAAAAACCGTGAAGTCTTCGCTAACGGTCATTCGTTGTTCTGTAAAGCAGTTACGCAAGCAGCCGTATAAGAAAATGTTCGCCATGAGCAAGCATCGGAGACCAAAACTCGATTGTCCAACAAGATGGAACAGTAGTTACATCATGATGCAATAACTTTCAAAGGAGAAAGAGTTCATTGTTTCGCTTAACGACAACGAAGAGAAACATGTTATTAGCGCGAAAGAATGGGATTTTATAGAAACGTTTCTCACTGTCTTCAAACCAGTAGCAGAGGCTACAGTAAAACTGCAACATTCACAAGTGACCTTCGGAGACCTCTTTTTGATATGGGAAAAAAGTTCGTTTATTTTGAAAACGATGGAAAGCGATCTGGCTGCTTCACTCCTATCAAACATGGATAAGAGACGGCTCATGTTAATGACGAACAAAGTATTCCTTGCTGCAATTTTCGTAGACCAACGAATTAATTTCAGAAACAGCCCATTCATAACTAATGAACAAAGAGATTTGGCTTTGGTATGTGAAATTTATTTATGCGTTAATAACGATTAATATGCTCTTCTGTCAATTCAATAGGATTTCTTGATGCAAACCTGGACCAATTTACAAGATCTTTCCGGTAGAAATCAAGTAGCATCAACATCTCAAAAGAGAGATGTTGCAAACGATGCATTTGAGGCATATTTGCAATCCTTGGATGATGCAACCAACAATAAAGAGGAATCCGAAGTTATCGACGAACTGAACGATTTATCTCGACTGCCAAGGTTGAAGCTGCAAACCATCGACGGAAAAGAGGAGACCATTTTGGAATGGTGGTTTAGATCGAAAGCTGCCAAACCAAGTTTGTTTTCCTTAGTTTCCACCATCCTGGCGATCCCGTGCACGCAAGTTAGCGTTGAACGCACTTTCAGTGCTCTACCGATTGTGCTAACTAAGTTTAGAGCTCAGTTGAAAGAGGAGACACTGAACAATATTCTATTCATTCGCCTTAACTCTAACCTTTTAGAGAAGGATGATTTTAGTAAAACTTAAAAAAAAACGTATCTTTGAATGAGAGTCGTGATCTGAATGTTATACTTCAAATAAAATGTTTATTTTTTTAATATAAGCCTTATCAGGAATCAGAGAGGCAAAATAAATACATGCATATGACTGAGTTTTGATAGCTGTTTGGGATATTGATAATTGATCTAAAATTAACGCCCCATGCGTTCAATATGTGCTTCATTTCCAATAAAAATAAAATACACCACCAACGTCACCCTCCTGTATATTTTTATTCCATTCTGCGTATAAACTACACGATAATTCAAAATAACCCAAATACCTTCCACTGAGTGGCTTAAACAGTTACAAAGATATGAGATTCAAGATGATGAGCAAAACCGATTGCATGCAGAGGTTTGATTTTAAAAATTCTACTCAGTTTCCCTTTTTGCCAAACTAATTTTTAAACAGTTATGAAATAGAGAGCGATGCAACTCTCCGTTACTTTTATTACGTCATTTGGTTTAGAGATCCCTGTTTAAGCAAGGTAGAAGAGGCCATTGGCTCTTTGCAGTGATCCATTTTACCGAACTCACATTTATATCAGAGTACCAAACCTGCAAACTGATAGTTGATGCTGTGAACAAACTCGCGTCTCGGAAAAAGGAACAGTCGTGTTGTGTCACAGCATTGATACATAGTTTGCAGGCTTGTCACTCTGATTCTTAAGTATTTAGGGATTACTTTGGCCTATTCTGCGCGGCGTGTGAGGTGAGGTGACACGTTGTCACTTGTGAAGTGACAAATGTCACCTCGAGTGAGGTGACTCTCCGTGAAAATCAAATGGAGAGTCACCTCACCCGAGGTGACAATTGTCACTTCACCATCACTTCACTGTCACCTCACCTCACACGCCGCGCAGAATAGGCCCAACTATTAGGACTCTCTACGTTGAATCAAATATATGTAATTGTATGTTACCTGAACTGCCGTTATACGCATAACTGTCCCATGTTCTATACAATCTTTATGTACCGTGTGACTCTTATGCGTATAACGGCAGTAAAGTGGCTCTTCGAATACCGGCTGATCACAGTGACCCTTCGTGACGAATAACCTTGAGCTCTTTTGTGCTAATCATATGACTAACTAATAATTTTTTTATAAATTCTTTCTTGCAATCCAATCCATGGTGGCATCATGGTGGTGTTATCCTGTTGGCAGTACTGCATTTGAAGAATTGTTGCTATCGTGGATGTTTCTCATTCATTGGTACTCTCTGACAATATAACTCAGGGACATGGTCTGAGAATAGTTCCCTAACCCTATCTATTAAATCCCCTGAATAGCGTGGTGAGTAGTGCAGGCCACCCACCGCAATGTCTCGGCTGTCATCCAACATATTGAGCGGATTTTTGTAGGATACTAGTATCAGCATGATTGAAACTAATCACAAACAATAAAATGTACTCGATTGACTGGGGGAACAACACAATCCACCGCGCTGTTTGGGAGATCCCTGTACTAGAAAGCAGTCAGAAACAAATTCAGTTACTTGGTTGCTGCAAAACTAATGAAAACAGTAAATTTGTTATTAAAGAACTTATTGATACTTACTCGAATCACGTCATGTATTGCACATCGTATGAGTCAAATACCAAATGCTTGATACTACCATGATGGAGCTTTTAAAGATGTTTAATTCTGCGGTTCAATGGAGTAAAGGTCTGGCGTTTACCTATTACCCAAAGCAGTTACGTTAGAAAAAAGTTCTTCAATGAATTTTTCGTTGTTTTCGGTTGCTCTTCCACCATTCTACTCGTATTTTTTTACTGCTATGATGATAGGTTCTTTACTCCTAGGAAATTTAATCTACACAACGGACACATTGACGAGCGTGTAATACTGCTTAAGTGGCTACAGATACATGGTATTCGCTGAAAATTTTCGATAAAAATAATGAGTGCTTTTTTGTGAACTAGTCTCACGGGTAAAGACTTGTTTACCGGATTACGGTATGGGCCTATTAATAAACTAAAAACTATATAGAGGGTATCGAAAAAGAACTGCCTACGCGGGGGAAGGGATGGTTTAGAACAGCTAAAAAAGCAGTCTTCGCAGTTTATGGGCAGCTAATGCAATATTTGTAGCCTTGGAAAACGGGAATCTTCAAATGTCGCTTGTCGCTATTTAAAATCACTAAAGCTGAAAATTTAACATTAGTTTGGGAAACGACTGTAACTTACTCTTATCCTATTTTAAACTGAACTTTCATTTCTCGTTCTACTGGTCGCAAAAGAATCATAATTTTTGGTTTAATCTTCAAAAAACCTTTAGATAGCGTTGCAAAATTAACAAAAAGCTTTTAAAACAATTAGTGCACTTCTTTTCCACTTCCATTTCGCCAAACTGCAATCTGACAACTCAAATGATGTGGCCAACTATGATCAATTTTGTAAGGATTTTTTCGGGGTTGGAAAATTTCCCGACACTCCAGATAGAGTATCATCATATCATATATCTGTCACACGACACAATATACGCATGCAAAAATGGTAGGCACCAGGTAGTCCAAAATGCACCCGGGGCAAAATGCGCGATTCAATTTTTCATAGCATTCCCGTTTTAAGTTTATAAATTTGACAAGCCACAGTGCTAGTTTTGTACTTAAGGGGAAGCTCACCGGCCCAAAAATAAAAAAATATTTTCGGTACGTTTTTATTTTTCTAAAAATATTGGGAACAATTATCAAAAATCCACGAAAATCAGTTTCTTCCTTAGATTTTTGTCAAAAATTACATGCAAAATTTTTTTTTCTATCCCATCATGAAAAAAAAAATGGATTCTCAGAAAAACCGAAAAGTTGATGTTTTGTGGTTTTTTGAGTCCAACTTTGTGCCATAATGACTTATAAAACATGTTTTTGCACGTGAATTTTCTTTAAAAAATTAGAAAAAATGTGATTTTTTTAGATTTATACTTTTTTCAATATTTTTAGAAAAATCAAAACGTAATTTTTTTTTCGGAGCGGTCTGCTTCCCCTTAAACTAGTATTTTGGCACAAAAATCCTATAATTAAGAGTGGAATAGCTTTTAAAAACCAAATCGGCTGCTTTTCCCGGGGTGCATTTATTCCCTGTTCTACCCTACCAGGTTTAGAAAGCTCTCTACTAAAAAATGGGGGAAGCGGTTAAAGATGGCGTAACTTCAATTGAGATTGGGATGTTAAAGCCAAAAAGAAGAAGATATTGCTTATTTAATGAATGATAACCTTTTGTTTAAAAGTCGAAAAAAAAAGTTTTTGTTTACGTGGTTTTCCCAATATATACCTATCTCAACTGCGTGCAATTTATTGTTGTTGTTGTTGTTGTTGTTTATTATTGACATTTTACATCCTGCGGATGCATTCATGTCAGTTCAATTGATTTTTGTGTAAACAGTGTGTGGGTGTGTTCAGAGTGATGTGAGGGTGAGTGTTAGTGTTTACGATACAATTCAAAATTCACTTAGCTTTCTTATCGTTTGCTCGTTTCCTGGTTCATCGTCTGCATGCTCATCTCATGGTTTACACTTCTTCTCCATAAATTTCTTCTTTACTTCTTCTATACCTATATTCACCATCTTCATTCTTCATGATCTTCCATATATCTTTTCCACATTATTTTTCGATTTCTCCGTTCCTTCCTTGCGCTTCATATTTATCTTCATTCTTCTGCATCTTCATAATCATTCATGTCTTCTGTAGTACTTTCGTTTTCTGCTTCATCTTCATCCTTTTTCACTTTATCTTCTTCGATTTCCATTCAGCATCTTCTTCATGAACTCATTTGCTTCCAACATTCATCGGTAACATTCTTCCACTGCATCTTCTTCCATTTCCTGTCCGACATCTTCTTCCATTCAGACTTCATTTTTCTTCTGCATCGCTTGCTTGTTCTTCATCCTCCGCTTCGTTTTCTTCCTATATCCTGCATTTTCCTTTCCATTCTATCTTCGCCCTTCAAAGCTTCCGATAAAGTTTGGTTTCATGCAGAAACTTCAGCAACCGCTTCTCATAATCATCGTCGTTGCGTAACGCCGTAAAAAGGCTTGTGGAATCGATTCCGTATTTCGTCCTGGCCGCTTCAAATTTTCTGCAGTGCAGAATAATGTGACGAACGTCAACAACGGTCCCACAGCATTCACATGCTGGCGGAGCTGTTTTCTTCAGCAAAAATTCATGCGTAACCCTAGTATGACCAATGCGCAGACGAGTGAGTATGCGTTGATCGGCAGAGCTGTACTGATCGATCCACTTCTTCGTTTCCCTTTTGACCTCCTTCAGCTTCACATCTGTCAATTGTGCCCAACGTGCTTCCCATAGCTGACGAAAGACTTGGTTCATGTTCTTGATGGAATCAATTCTTGGTACGGCAACGTTGATTGGTGGACTGTTTCGTGCTTCACTGGCTAGACGGTCTGCTTCTTCGTTACCGCGAATTCCGGCATGACCAGGGATCCAACAAAGGTGGATCGGCCGTCCACGTATTAAGCGCTCGATTTCCTGGATCCACGGATGCTGCGATCTACCACTCTCTATGGCCGAAAGACAGCTGGCCGAATCAGACAGAATTATAACACATTCGGTTGATGCTCTTGCAGCGATGACGGCCGACTTGATTGCAAAGGCCTCCGCCGAAAAAACGCTACATTGTGACGGAAGACCTATTGCTTGCTGAATGCTGCTACAAAATACACCTGCTCCAACTATGTTCTCGCATTTAGAACCATCCGTATAAATAGCCAAAGCACGGCTAAACCGGTTAGCCAGCAACTCCTGCACGATGGGACGCACTGTATTCGGGGGGTCCCCAGCTTTCACCTTCCGTTTCACATCCCAAACAATATGCGGCTTGGGTTCATACCACTCTCGGTTGGCTAGACGTGTTCGTACAGCGATGTTTGGAAGCTCTACATCAATCGTCGCCAGGCGATCGGACGCTCGTTCCACAACTGGAAGATCGATATTCCTGGAATCCTTCTCCATCAAACGAATTGCAGCACGAATTATGGCTTGCATAATCATTAAATCGAATGGCAAAGTGCCTGCTTCAGCCATAATCGCTGGAATCGGACTGGTGACGTACGCCCCTGAGGCGAACCGGACCATCCGGTTGTAGATGGGTGCAAGAGTCTGCACCACCGAATCCTTCGCTCTACTGACGAGCCCGATACCGTAGATAAGTCGCGACGTGACGATTGCTGATCCGATACCCAACAGAGAATCGCGTTGCCCTCGCGGAAGTTTAGCCCCGATCATCTTCAAGATCCGCAGTCTAGAGTCGCACGTGTTTTTGACTACCTTGCAATTTATTGTGATGTTTAAGTTGTTGATAAAAAAAAGTATATTTTCATTCTGATTCTCATGTACTTTTCCATGAATCCATAAAATTAGGTACATTCATTGAGGACCTCAAAATAAATCGAAATAACATTATACCGGGACACAAACATGACCCACTATTTAGTTGTATGTATTGTAAATATAAACAGTTCGCGAGCATGTATCAAATATCTTATCATGTAGCAGATAGGAAATATCACATCAGAAATGTTAATGCCATCAGCTTACTCAAGTAAAAAGTGTTCTCGCATGTAAATCTAAAAGCACAACGCACAACTCCGTACATGAAAAGATCTTGTGAGCTAATCTCATGAGCTTCGTCTCATGAGACGTCGCATGCGATTAAGTACCATGAAACACACCCTTTAGGAAATGTATTGTGCTGCCAAGTCGTGTGTCGCACAACTTTTATGAGCATGTGAGATGCGACGTATTGAATGATCGTGATATAGAGAAAAATACATCTCATGTGCACGACTCGACCATGAATGCGAGATTATTGTTCGTGCGTCTCACAAGCGACGATACGCGCACTGGAAGCCTGGGTATAATCACTTTTCTTGTCTAATTGATGTTCACAGCATATATGAGATATGATATAAACATCAATACGGCCAGGCCTACTGCGTTGTATTTGCCGCAAAGATGATTCTTGGAAATGGATTGGAACATTTCTTGAATCTACAGGGGTGGAAGGATGCGTGGACATACCGTACCAAACGCTCCGAGTTACTATGTGTAGTTGTGTGTAATGTGTAAATATTTGTAAAATATTGAAGAATCATAAAATAATGCAATGGAAGGATCTTACCGAATTTCCTCCTATGTTGGTAATGATTCTTTTGCACTTAAAAGTTTCGTTGGATGCATCCGATCCTCCGATCGGGAGGTTGCAGTAAAATCAAAACAGCCTGTTTGCCATCGGCCTTGCATGTCCAAAAACCAGATTGTGAGCAATCTCGTGACAGGTGAGCTCTAGCGAATGATTATCATCCCTCCAAAGAAATATGCCACCAGGAAAATCATCTTCCACGATTGGTCCTTCATTATGAACAACATCGCAAACTGCGTTAGCACCATGGCACCAGCCACAAACTTGAACTGCGGATCATAACCGAAAAACTTCTTGATCTGCGGATACTTTTGCAGGATAATCTTCCTTCGACTGGCATGCGGTTCCTCGGTGTAACACCACTCGAAATCTGTCCTGGACACGTGCTGGCCCATTGCAGTCTCTTCTTGATTGCTTGGGAAATACTCCCAAAATGAAAAAAAAAAAAAATGCGAATTTCACAACACTGCTTCACGTAGAATAGTGAAGACGCTCAAAAGTAAAAGTACACTGCCCCGGCTGCAGTATCGATGCTACCGACCTGAAATTATCCTTAGCTCGGCCATAAAAGTCTGCACTTCCCGAGCAAAGTCGGTTAACAAAATGAAAGCAAATCGATATTAAAGTTTGCAGTTCCTATCATAATGAAAACTCATTTTGATTTCAATTGTCGCGACAGAAGTCTGATATCATATTGTGCTTTCATTATGCAGTCAAGACTTTTTAAATCAAAGCAACTTAACTTGAAGTTCTGCTGTTAATTTCTTGTTTAAAATTTGATTTAAGTTCATCTGTCGTTGAACGAACGATTATTGTTTATTTATTTTGTTTAACACATTTTAGGTCATTCGTGATTAGCCCGAGGTGACATTTGAGCTCAAATCTTTCAGCGTGAGAAGCATGGATGCTAACCATTTACGACAGGCCCGTATTCAGTTAAACATTATGAATGCAAAATCAGTAATCAAATTGATTTCATTGAAAGCAGAATTAGTTTTCCGTTTGATTCAACAGTGTAAAATGTTGCTCTCATTTTTGCTGTGTTAACCGTTAAGTCAACCAAAATGAGATCAAATGGAGTATTCAAAATAAGTTACATCATAACAGCAAATTCTGATTTCAATTTGATCTCTAACTTTGCTCGGGTTGCGAACTTCTCTAAAAAAACGCGACGAAAAAACATAGACGAACAATTTGACAACCGGAAAATTTTCACGGGCACACTTCTTAAACGTTCCAGCAAGAGATGTAATCATATCAGTGCTAACATTTGAAAACGGCGCAAAAGCCATTTGTAAACAAATGGTTTGTTGGCCCTTTACTCGCTACCCGAAGAACGCCCACGCAAACCAACAGCATCGTCAGGAAGGGGAAAATTTCCCCTACCCGATGTTATGATGATGTATATTATACTCCTAAGATAAAGAGCTTTGAGTGTGTTGGTTTATTTCCTTCAAATTCCGTTATAATTGCTTATATTTTGACAGATACGCGTATTACATCAGTGCCAAGTACTCAACACCACTCCTAAGATGTTGTTGACTCCATGATTATCAAAGCTGCTTCTAAATTGAAATCTTCGACTTCGATGGAATTCCTGCTATTCTGATGAAGAAGTGCATCGATAATTCACTCACACCTCTACCGGGGTATTTCTGCGCTGTGTGCAGTATCGACATTATTCACAATAGTGGTGCAGGACCTTATTTTG